ATACAGCATGAAAGTACATCCCCTACGCTCCCCCCACCCTCTCTCTCTCTCTCTCTCTCTCTCTCACATACATATATGCTTGGCGTGGGTGGAGTTCATCCATCAGAAGCAGAGCACAGCTCCATTTCCCCTTTTTGAATACTATTTAGCCCTTGTCACTATAGGGTTCCTGGTCACAAAATCTGTATATGGTGACTGCTCTTCCAATCCCCCCAAAAGCTCTCCTGATGGCAGAGCTGGAACTGGCACAGATCCCACTCCTCTCTGTTCACAATGTGCTTATATGGCTGTACCCCCTGCACTCGTATACGTTCCCCTTGGGGGTTCATATTGTTTCTCACTGGGCTCATGAGAGGGTTGAGGTGAGGATCTCTCCTACTTTGTGTGGAAAGGGGGATTGGATTTCTCTATGATACTTTTCCTCCTGGACCTAGTGATGGGATCTCTGAATGGGCTAAGGCCCACACAGTGAATGGACTAGGGGTTGAATCAGAGGATGGGGACACACATGATCCTCCCTCTGGTCCTGCAGAAAATAGTCAAAAAAGTTAGTTCAGACACGAGACTGTGTTTTCTCCTGATTCTTCGCAGTGTCACTTGGTGCCACCTTGGCACAGAGGATTCTCTGGTAATGCAACTCTGTTTGAGCCATGATTATTCAATCTTTATATTATGGGAGAGCCCAAGGTCCCCAGGTAGAGCCCAAGGTCCCTAAGCAGGACCACATTGTGCTGGGTGCTGTACAAACATGGAAAAGAGACAGTTCTTGCCCTGAAGTACTTACAGTCTAAGATACAGACAATGGATAGGGCCAGAGCATACAACATGCAAACAAATGGACCTGGTGAAGACTGGCCTGGCTTTATTATACACATGTATAGTATTTTTTTTAATTGAGATTAGAGGTACTGAAAAATGGTGTAGGGAAGGGAAGACCCATGATGACAAGCAGTCAGCAGAGCTGCAAGGAACCAGTATGGGTGCAGGCCCATCCACAAGATCAACTGTGTTTTGGAGTAGTATTACTATGGAGGCAAACGCCACTGATTGGACAATGGAGGGGGATCTCCTCAAGGAAATCTTCATGGGAAATCTAAAAGTCCCCTTCCATGGATTTGAATACGAGGGAAAATCTGGGCCGAGGATATTGGATAGAGAACTTTTGTGGCATGAATGTCACTTAAAAAGAATTGCATGAATCTTCTCCAAAAAGCGGAAATGAGGTCAAATTACAAAGGATGAATATTAAAAAAAAAATCTACAGAAGCATGTAGGGACAAAACTAGAAAGACCAGGGCACAAAATGATATTAAACTAGCTAGAGACAATCTATAAATACATTAGAAGCAAGAGGAAAACCAAGGATGGGTAGGCCCATTATTCAACTAAGAAGGAAAGACAATAACAGAAAATGTGGAAATGGAAGAGGTGCTAAATGACTTTTTTTCTTTCTTTTTTCACCAAAAAGGTTACTAGTGATCAGATGTCTAACATAGTGAATGCCAGTGAAAATGAGATAGGATCTGAGGGTAAAATAGGGAAAGAACAAGTTAAAAATTACTTAGACAACTTAGATATCTTCAAGTTGGCAGGGCCTAGAATACTCACAGAGCTGGCTGAAGAGTTATTTGAGCCATGGAAAACTCGTGGAAGGCTGGAGAGATTCCAGCAGACTGGAAGAGGGCAAATATAATGCCAATCTGTAAAAGGGGGAATAAGGACAACTCCGGGAATTACAGACCAGTCAGCTTAACTTCAGTACCCAGAAAGATAATGGAGCAAATAATCAAGCAATCAATTTGCAAACACCTAGAAGATAACAAGGTAATAAGTAACAGTCAACGTGGATTTGTCAAGAACAAATCGTGTCAAACCAACCTAATAGCTTTCTTTGACAGGGTAAAAAGCCTCATGGATGGGGGGGAAGCAGTAGATGTGGTATATCTTGACTTTAGTAAGGTTTTTGATACTGTCTCACGTGACCGTCTCATAAATAAACTAGGGAAATATAGCCTAGATGGAACCACTATAAGGTGGGTGCATAACTAGTTGGAAAACCATTCCAAGAGAAACAAGATAGACCAAGTTTTAGACCAATTGACTTTGACAAAGTTCCTCTTTATCTATCGAGTCCAATTTTGTGCAGTTAATCATTTGGATTCTACTCATTAGGCATTAAAATTGTGTACATTTTTACCAATTATGATACCTGGCAACACTTTCCTAGTTTTACCTTCAGTTTAATTGTTAATTGTTTAAAAATAGGTGGGAACTCTTGTTCACCATAGTCTATGATCCTTTAAACTGAACTGCTTTTTGACTTTCTAACAAACCAAATCCATTTCCAAAACATCCATTTTTCAGTAAGAAAACCAATGGATTTTCCTTTATCTATCTATTTTGAGGAGAAAGTTGTTGCAGCAGAGCAGAGGTGCTACTCGGAGTTGCGTTGTTTTGCTATAATATGCAGGGGACTTTAGATACAGACTGCACACCGTTTCTAACCTGTGTAGGATTTTTACATAGGAGGAGATATGCTTAGTCTTGGAGCAGGCAGCAGGGGGGAAGTAGGGAGCATACTGTGTTCCTCTGTCATCTGTCCAGAGAGCAGCAATGGGTTAGCTGCAGAGGAAGCAGTTCACCGTTTTCCCAGTAAGAGGCATTAGCCTGCATATTTAATCAGACCTCAGTAGTGTGATGACAAATAGCTGGCCAAGGTGATGATACTCAAACACTTTAAAGCACTTGGAAATCTATGGATGAAAAGCACTATATAAGTACTAATCATTATTATGAGAAAGAAGTAATACTTAGTAAATAACTTGGGCTCCCACCTTGCAAACACTGATGTACATGAGTAACTTTACATATGGGAGTAGTCCCTTCAGTTCAGTACATCTCACTGAGTTATTCATGTGCATGTTTGTTAGTATGTATGTCAACAGGGGAAATGGAAAAGTGTGTGCCTTTTGAGGAAGGAATTACTTTCAGCTCCTCAGTAGCAGTCTGAAATCAATGCCCTGGGGTCAAGATGAGTTACAGGAGATTATCCTGTTAGAGGATAAACACTAATTTCTACTTCCCTTGTTCAAGCAAGAAGTCCCATTGATCTCAAAAGGCCAAATCCTGTGCGCTTTGCTCAGAAGTAGTCCCAAATAACCTCTAATTAGTCTCCTAAGAGTTCTGCTTTTAAACAATTTGCTTTCTCAACATTCATCCATGTTGTACAGAAATATTTGCAGCCATGTTGCTGGGAAAAAATGCATCCATTGTGCAAAAGAAATAAAAGGTTTTGCAAACCTGTTTTTGCAGCATTCGTGAAGCTCTAATTAAGACTTTTTTTTTAATACTAGCTAGGGTAGAAGGTTGAAAATACTGCTACACAGCAGGCTGAGCAAAGTGTTTTATTCTTAAATTGATTTAGAAAATTTTGGTTCTGCTCCCATTCTCCCTGGATCTAAGCAGGGACGAATCTGAATCCTCCATGGTGCCCCACAAAATTTTTGCTATTTTCTTCTCTTACCATTTCCATCAAGCTCTGAGGTTACAGTGACTGCCCCTAATCTTGATGAGATTGCTAGTCATTGCATTACCCTCTGCTCTGCCAGCAGTACCAGTCTATTTGTCAGCTTTTCCCACAAATTAAAACAAAACCGTGTACTTGTGCACAGTTGTCAGTAACCACATGCGTGTTTCTGTCACTGTTACTCATCCTCCCTTCCCCTGTACCCTCCATTGGTTTGTGCAGCCTCTTGTTTTGTCTTATCTTAAAATAGATTAGGAGTGCTTTGAGGCAGGGGGTGACTCTTACTCTGTGTACATACAGTGCTAGGACAATGAGGTTCAATGCTAAATAGGGCCTCTGGGCACTATCATAATGTAGATAATAAATAACTATAGTATATGCCACTCTCACAACAGCTTCCTGCTTTCCACTCATGGGAGCAGGAAGTCCATGCTTTCAGCTTCCCCTATTCCAATTATCCAAGGCTCAAAGCCTTATTTCTGGCATTTTGATATTATGCCTTATGCCACAGAACTTTTTAACAGTATTTGCACTTCAACAAACAGTTCAATGTTAACTTTGGTGTTTGCAAAAGGTGTAAGATTTGCAGAAAACTGAGTCAGATGAGGACTGAGGTGAACTGTCAAAGCTTTCTGGAGATGCTTTTGAAGCACCTACTTGTACAGTGACTGGCTTTTGTCACTGCTGTTAGTCCCTGATTCCGAGCACCAAATACACCTACAGAATAAAGAGAGACTTTTGAAGTTGCCAAGTTATCACTTGTTTCACACTTAGAATTTGTTTTGATAAAAGATTTGATGGGCCCAGTTCATGCCTGGTATGACTCCATTGACAATGATGACTCAGTGTGTTCTTAGCTACATCCCACGTATCTTCTCTCAAAATAAACTCTTAGCAAATTCCTGTTTCATCATCTTATTTTCATTCCAGGCATCACTGCCCTGAGAACAATCTCTTGTGATAGAGAATCCTGTGGTAATATTTTTGAGTCAATCACAAATGTTAAAAAGTGGGTCAGATCCTCAGCTGATGTAAATCAGCCCAGCTCCATTGACTACAGAAATTAAAGGAGCTATGCCGATTTACACTAGCTCAGGGTCTGGCTCATATTTATAAATGCTTTTGCTTCAGTTAACTACATGGAAATACTTTTCCTAATATCTTTGAATAATTGTCCATAGCATTCTGCCGAGAGAAAAACAGAACTGTTAGCAATACTATCTGTTATAAATGACATTGGGAACAATTGCCATTTGTGAAAGGGAGGCTTGTGGGTAAAGTGCCTTTGCAGAGTAATGCTATGCTGTGGTATTTTGCTGAGTAGCAAAAGAGGGAAAATGATTAAACAGCTTGGTATTCAGATTCTATGACCTGTTAAATACTGACAAATATCAGAGAGTTCACTGCACACCGATGAAGTAAGGTCATGTAATACTGTATGAAATGTTTGTTATCTTAAAAATGCATGATGTTGCCTTATATATGTTTTGGGCTGAGATAATATCTGAATTAAAGCAACAGCTCAAAGCTACTGATGGAGACTTCCAGGGAGAAGTATGCCTTTAAAGCTGCTAATAAAATGACTTGCTAAGTAATATTTAGAAACAGAAAATAAACTTGTGGGGGTGAAATCGTGGCCCCACTGAAATCAATGGGAATATTGCCATTGACTTCAATATGGCCAGGAATTCACCCAAAATGTTTACCCAAGAATGGCTGGACAAGATGTTAGATGGTCTGACCCTTCAAAATAGGAAACATCCCCCTATTTAAAATAAATTTATTTCAATACAAAAATTAGTTAAGAACTAAGACTGAAGGTCCAGTTAACACCCAGAATTAAATGACACCTCCTTTAGAAAACTTTATAAATTTGTCCCATATCCTCACCTCTTGCATCAGCCCACAGAGCAGGCCAGGACATCAGGGTAATCAAGCTCCTCATTCAAGCCCTCATCCCATGTCTTCACTACTGTAACCTCCTATTTTCTGGCCTTAACTACTGCATATTTGCATCGCTCAAGTCTATTCAGCTTTAGCTGCTGCTAAAACCATCTTCTTGACTCATTATTCTGACCACATAAACCCCACCTTTGAGTCTCCCACTGGCTTTCTCTTCCCACTCTATAAGCTTCTTGTCCATATTTTTAACACCCCAAATATCATATCCCCATTCCACCTTACTGATCTAGTAACCTATTGTGATGTCCGTTCTGCCATCCACCCTTCAGCTTCTCCCTTAAACACTTCCAAGCTTTCTCCCACACTCTCCCTTTTGCTTAGGGAAAAACACACTGATAAAATCCAAGGAGCCATTATCTTCCTTCAGATCCTTCTGGAGCAGTCACCTCTGCCATGATACCTACAAAATCCAGCCTGCTTGTCATGCTTAGACAGGTGACAAGCTGTGGCCTTTCCTCTTCTTCTACTTTCCTTTTCCTACTCCCTTCCTTACTTCCTCTAATGCCAATTAAAATCAAACAAGCAAATGAACCCCTTAAAATACATGTAACTACCTGGGCCAATTCTTCACCGTACTCATTTGCACCATACTCATTGTGGTACATTGCATTCACATCCCCTACCCTTCATTTGTATCTTTAGATTGTAAATCCTTCAGTACAAGGATTGTCTCTCTTTTGTTTTTGTATGACACCGAGCACAATGGGACCCCAATCCTAACTGGGGTCTTTGGGAACTACCATAATATTAATATTTAAGAGCAGCAATAGCCCTAAATAATTTAAATTAGTCTCTTGATTACTGGCTGCCAGGTTGGGAATACAGCAAAATTCTAAGGCTGTTAAGGAGGAAGGAAAGAAAGGTACTGAATAATATAAACTGTATCCCCTCTGGCTTGTTTAAGAGCTGCAGTCAATCATTCTGAGGAGGAAAGCTTAAAGGGGCCTTTGGATAAACTTTGTCAAAGTTATATTCTCAGAAATTTTGTGACATTAATGGACTGACTATATAACAGTGAAACTGGCAACTTCAATGGTTGGAATAGGAGTTGGAAAATAATTGCTATTTTCAATTCCTGTATTTTATATAGCATTTAGATTATAAAATAACTACAGTTACAGATATATGTTGTTCCAATTATAGCTGGAAGGTAATGCAAGCCTTGTTTAAACTGGTCTTTCAGTGTTGATATTTATACTGGTTACGTTTTTAATGTTGATTCTGTGGAATCCTCTTACAGTGAAGACATTTTTTTTCTTCTTTACAAAACAGCTTGGTTATAAATGGAGATTCCCTGTACCTGGAGTTGCAAATTGCACAGTGCTGTGCATTGAAACAAATAAAGACTCATCTTCCACAGTATAAATGGAGTTTCACTAGATCTGCAGTTCGCTGAAAATAGCATTAAGTTATTAAAAGTTTTAAGTAATTAAAAAGAGAGATTACCAATTCTCTGAGTAATTGACTACTCTTTTTTAGCATTATCCTGTTTCATATCACTTTGGGACATTAAAACGAAGTGAAGGACTGGTGAAGGGAAACCGATGTGGTGGTGGCTTCAGCTTCCTCCTGCAAAACACCACATTGGTTTCCCTTCATCAGTCCTTCACTAATCTATGTACATCCTGGTGTTGGCAAAGCACCAGGATGTATATGCAGATGGGTATAGATTATTCTATACCATTGATCTTGAAGTGCTGTTAACTCACCTGCCAATCTCATGGCAGTAGATGAAGCTGGTCTTCAGTGGCATTGTTCTTTTTCTCTCAGGGCGTTCTCTACAGGTAGTTGTAGGCAATTGCTCCTCTTCCCAAAGAGTTCTCAAATGCAGAGTACCATTCTGTCTCCCCTCCATTCCTGTAAAAATGGGGCTGGTAGGAACATTAGTGATGAGGCCTCTGGTTCAGAGTTTTCAATATGCGGATGGCACCTAACTCTGTCTCTATATCATCTGATTGAGATGAAGTAGTTCAGCTCCTCAATCAATGTCTAGTGGAGATTTGGGCATGCATGAGAGCACTCTGAAGCTCAACCCAGACAAGACTGAGGTGATAATGGCGGTTTGGGGAAAGAGCAAGAGGAGCTGGCAGAAGGAACATCATCCACTTTGATGGAAGGAGTATGTCTGTCATTAGTGTTTGCAATTTAGGAGTGATTTCAGATGCAGACCTTACCACTGTTATCCAGGCTTTTGTTACCTCTCAAGGTTTGACTATTGCAACATGCTCTACATAGGGCTACCCCTTAAAAACATTTGGAGACTGAAGCTGGAACTTATTGAATGGGGCATCTTTCTGGGAGACTTGCTGTCCATTGGTCTTTGGCTGGAGTTTATGGTATAGGTTATAAACTTTAAAGCCCTGGAACTGGCCTACCCAAGGGACCACCTCTCTTGCTGTTTTTTATGGCATAACCATTAATTCTTATTGAGGACAGACTATCTGAGTGCGATGTTGCCACAGCAGCAGTCAGCAGGGGCACTTGAGCTGGATCCCCTCATTATAAAAGTGAGGGGGGGCTGACAGGACATCCCTGTGAGGGCTACAGGACTCTGGAACTTTTTCTCCCCTCCTTTCACACCTTGGTCCTAAATATCCTGAATTTGGTGACTTTCCAGACATGTGGCAAAAAAGATACCTTGTTCTCTGGACAAAGCTAATGGGGCTTGCTTCCAGTTGATGGAGGGGACTGGTGGCCTGCTGGCCAGCCAGCTGAGTTCCTGTGGAATGTATTTCAGTGCTGCTGAGGATAAATTTAATTGCATTTATTATATGACTAATTATGATAAGGTATCTAGAGCCATGGATATGCTTATTTATTATTATTTGTAAATCTAAAAGTTAATGAAAAATATAATAGAACTAATGCAAACAAAAGCTCTTCTGCTCTTTTCTCAGGTGTCTAGTATCTGCCGGGCAGCAGTACATGCTGGAGTAGTTCGCAACCAAGGAGGCTATGTTGATGTTATGCCAGTAGATAAAAGGAAGGTGTACATCGCCTCCTTTCAAAATGGAATATTTTCAGAAAGGTAAAAAGCTCAGTTTAAAAGACTGTTGTTTTCCCTTCTCCTAGTAATGCATGCCATCATTTTCAGATTCTTGCACTAAGTCTCTCTGTGTGGTGAGGTTAAGGGGTGTGTGTGTGTGTGTGCTTGAAAGCTAAATAAATAGGCTAACATGGGTGATTTACAGGGTTGTGTAAGAGTCACAATGACTGGAGAAGCTGCGGTACCAGAACTGCCTGTCTCCTCTAAGCTCATAAATCATAACCCTAAAAAGCCGCTTATAAATCAAAACGACTCTCTTGTTTATTGATCCTGTGGCAAATAATGCAATGTTTGCTAAGAAAATTACCTTTGCCTCCTTTTTCATTTTTTAGATAAGTGATTCATTCATTTTAGGTGAGTGGGATTTGGAATGGTCCAGTACTTGCTGTTTATATGGCACCCTCTTATTGAGGGTGGATTATATGAATGGCCATTAACTTTTTGCATATCTTTGTATCAATAAGCATAGTCTACAAATGATACAGACAACAGATTAACGTATAGCATGATTTCCTAAGACATACAGATGTGTATCTGAGTCTTTTAAAATCACTTACCATTATATAGTACCTTCTGTGATGACATGTGCCAGCATATTTCCAGTTAATTTGAAGCTCTGAAATATTTTTCCGGGTTCTATCAGAACAAAATTTTGACTTTACAGTATTCTTGGTACATCCCATTCACAATCATGAAGCTAATTGTGAACTGTGGAGTTGCAAACACTGTGCCAGATCATCCCTTATACAAGAATTACATGCATGTGGAAAAGAAGAAAAAGCGAGAATGACTGTATAGCCTAGTGGTAAGGGTGCTCAATTGGGAGGCCCAAATTCATGTCCCTGCTTCAAGCACTATTTATTTATACATAGTGGAACAGCTCCGCAAGGTGAGATTAAGACAGCCTCCCCTGCAAGAAACTTCCATAGCCCAGGGACTACAGCTCTTAGCTATACCACTCACTTGGGATGTGGGAGACCCAAGTTCAAGTCCCTTCTTCACATGGGGAGGGTGTTTGAATTCAGGTCTCCCACAGCCCAGCTAAGTGCCCTAAACATGGGTTATAAGGTGGGTACTGCCTCCCTTCTAATTTTATGACTGGCACCTAAGTCCCCCCCAAAAATAAATTTGCCCAAAACTATTCTGTGAATTTGTCAAATTAGTGACAATTTTTGGGTCAACCAAAACTTCATTTTATGGTAAATAAACAATATGTCTGAAAAATTTTGCCCCAGTCTAACTGTGATTCATATTTGATTAATTGCCTGGATTTTATGTGTGCAGAAAAAAATGCTAATGGGCACTATTAACCCATTGCAGCCTTTTAACAGTTTATTAAAGTAAATAGATATCAGTTGTGTGGTCCATGTAAATGATGCGTCAGGTATTTAATAACCCAGAAGAACCTGCATTGCTAATCCATATCCCCAGGCGAGAGGCATTTATAAAGTAAAAACTAATGTTTCAAAGCACGTATAGCAGTTGTGCAACCAGTTTCAAATGGAAAGAAGCCAAGATAATGGCTCCAGTGTGCCATCTGACTCGGGACTGTTGTCCTACAGAACCTGCAGGTTGTCCTACAGAACCTGCCGTTTGTCCTACAGAACCATGACACTGTTCAGCTATGAGGTTGAAAGAACAGCAAAACTAAGCAGTTCTGCTATCACTAATGTTTACAAAACAGCATTAATTCCATAAATTGTACCCTTCAGTTCTGTAATAATTGACTAGAAATAATTGACACATTCAAAGCTTTCCCCTAAATATTAGTATTCACTTTATTTGTTTTGTTAATAAGCATTTCTTTTGAAATAAAGAGCATCAGTGGTAGAGCTGTTACTATAGATTATTTTATTTCTGGCAGAAAGTTCTATCGTTCTGATAAATTAACCCAATCCTGCTCCCATTGGAATGAATAGCAGAGTTATATAGCAACTTTGCCATTGACTTCAAGAAGAACAGAAGTAGGCCTTACTCAGAATTCTCTAAAACCTACTTGCAATATGTCATATAGCGAAATATGGCCTGAATCAACATTCCTCCTGCACAAAATAATTTGCAGGATCAGAGCCTAAGAGCCCAGTCAATGAGAGTTCTGGACTCAGAGGGCTTGCATCAGTTCCTAAGAGTGAATTGGAGTGTTAGTGTTATAAATAACCTCTGGGATGGTTTTATTTTTCAGTTTACAGAATCCTCCAGGAGGCAAGGCTTTCAGAATATTTGCCGTTGTCTGAGTCCAGTTACTAAAGAGAAAAAGAAAACAAAATAAACTGCAACCAGAGCACTTGGAAGAGGATAATAAAGATCACTTAGTATACTTCCTAAAGTTTGTGTAAAGCTGTAACATTATTGTACAGAAGATATCAATGAGTGGGTTGCAATCAAATCGCTCAGAAGCTCTTCGTGCATCGAGGCTCAGCAGTGGTTAATTAGTGTGGCAAAGTCACTTGTACGAGATGGTTTC